TTTAGATATTAACATCATGAAGAGTTTTAACTTATGTACTAGTTATTTAGATATTAACATCATGAAGAGTTTTAACTTATGTACTAGTTACTTAGATATTAACATCATGAAGAGTTTTAACGTATGTACTAGTTACTTAGATATTAACATCATGAAGAGTTTTAACTTATGTACTAGTTACTTAGATATTAACATCATGACGAGTTTTATTGAGTTCAGTTAATAAATAAGTAAACCAAAAATGTAAAACAGTTTTTAATATAATAATATTTCACAGACGTTCGTCAAACAAGAACTATGGTGAAATATTTGGCTTTCATTTAATAACAGCGTTTTATTGAAAAGTGAAGCAAAAAGAGACAATAACAAGATAGTGTGTTTTTTTCTAAAATTACGTTAACATTAAAACATTTTTATAAAAAAAAAATATAGTGTGTTTCTATAAAACGAAACACAAACATTTTTTTCCTTCTTATTAGTTATGGCCCCCCACCCCGTGGCACAGCGGCATGTCTGCGGACTTAACCGCTATAATCCGGGTTTCGATACCCGTGGTGGACAGAGCACAGATAGCTTAATTACAAACAAACAAACTAATTAGTTAATTAGTCATTCCAAAAGTTTAGTGTTTATATCAAATGTACAAAGATACTGAATTTGCATACGTAAGAAAACATTGTGTTATTTCTATAGAAAACCACTGCTCTGTTACTTATTATCAAAGTGAATGATTTAGCAAAGACTGAATACGTTTATCTAATATTAAATATCCAATACCACACAAGAGTCTTTCTCTCCTTGCGGAGTTCCAGCACAGATAAAGCCGACTGTGATCCCCCTTGGAAACTGATCTTGGGTTAAGGAACTGTAGGAGTCTTGACATTGTTTTTTGCCGACAATTGGAATGGATATTTGTCTTAGGACTTTACTTGGTAATGTACGATCTGAAAACAGTAGCAACAACCGTTTTGAACAAAGATCTCAAACCAGTATTATCTTCATTGTTATTAATAATAAATGATAAAATTATATGGTTATAAATTATATATATTCATTACAAAGGGTTAAGTACATTATACCAAAACGATATTGAATACATATATCAGCAAGTTACGTCACAATCGCAGCCAGTATAAAGTTGCGGTGGAATGTCAAGTAGCAGAATTACATTTTTCTTTTCATTGTTTGTCATTAGGGTTAAAGTTGCGGTGGAATGTCATGTAGCAGAATTACATTTTTTCATTGTTTGTCATTAGGGTTAAATTTGCGATGGAATGTCATGTAGCAGAATTACATTTTTTCATTGTTTGTCATTAGGGATCAAGTTGCGGTGGAATGTCATGTAGCAGAATTACATTTTTTCATTGTTTGTCATTAGGGTTAAAGGTTGCGGTGGAATGTCATGTAGCAGAATTACATTTTTTTCATCGTTTGTCATTAGGGTTAAAGTTGCGGTGAAATGTCATGTAGCAGAATTACATTTTTTCATTGTTTGTCATTAGGGGGGTAATGTGGTGCCATCGAATATGGATGTCTTAATACAGCTCTTTCCGACGCAAAATATTCATACGCTCATTTCATAAAGATGTGTTCAAATCGGAGATTTTGAATTTCCAAGACTGAGATATCCCTTGTAATTAATGATATTGGAAAACAAAGGAATGTGGATTAAATTGGGGTACCAGGACCATCCAGAAAGACACCTGCAAATATTTATATTTCAGATGTAATAAGCAAAGTGTGGTATCCTGTAACAGGTGAGAATCCAGAAACACAAAGGTCGGAGGCAAGTGTCGTCCATATGCTCCAGGCAATAGTATGCAATATATTGAAGAAGAATATCTGTCTAGAAAGGATGTTAACAGGGTGTGGGTTCGCCAAGGTTTATTAATATTACTGTCAAGTCCTGGCCATGCACTTGTTTATTAACTGTGTTTTGGTAAATTTAGAATGTATTTCTAAGTGTGGGTTCGCCAAGGTAAAGTTTCTCGTCACACTTCCCGTTCAACTGTTGCATATCTTAAGCAAGTTGAGAATAAGATGGGTATTCATGATATTCCATACAAAGACATACCAGTCAAGTCAGCAGACTATAAAAACGTGCGTTAAGAAACCATCGTCCTCGTACTCTAGATGAGTTAAGGAGAATCTGTAATTAGGAGTAATGTGCTTTGGACATGATAGTCATTCGACAGAGTTTTGCAACGAAACTACGCTGCAGGGTACTGATGTACTGTCATCAGATAGGCACGAGCGAATGTGATAACATGAATTGTAACAACGTGATAAAGTTCCAAAATTGTTTTAATATAACGAACTAAACCTCTGTAGACATAAAATGTTTGACAAATATCAAAATATACCATTGTTGTAGATATATAAACATATTGGGTATTTTCATGATTAAATTTTATGCAATAAACATGTTTAACCATATATTTGTCATAGAACTATTGAAAAGGGAATTCCATAGATTTGTTCATGTTAACATAAAGGAAGGAACACAAGTTCATTCGGTGTCATCGAGTTGTTCACAATGATGGATAAAGTTATTTTAATTACGCCAGCACATAGGCAAACTAATCTAAGGATTGTTAATTTCTTATTTATTCTAGCTGTAATAGAGGTATCAAAGTGTATATGCCTTCTAATTATTAAATTTCGGTTGCTTACCCAGAACCTTTCAAACAGTATTATCCTTTGTACAGCAATTGTATATTTTACGTTGCTAAATACATGCTACGCTTTTTATTTCTTATGTAAGGTAACACATTATGCTAATACATATCAACAAACAACGATATCATTGTACTTAGAAATCATTATTTCTTAATTTACTACCACAACAATTACACAATGTACTTTGCTTAATTCACGTACAATTTCTTAACCAGTACGTATTTTAACAGTAATTGTATATTTTGCATTCTAAGTACAAGTGAGACGTCTTATAAAACATTATTTGTTAATCTATTGTATTTTACTCAATAAGGTTTGTTTGTAGTTAAACATAAAGCTACACAATGATCTATCTATGCTCTGACCACCACGGGTATTGAAACCCGGTTTCTAGCGTTGTAAGTCCGCAGACATGGGTAATAAATAAAGACAAAACTTGTGAGGCTACTCTGTGAATAAATACCCTAAGAGAAAAAAAAATTGCTGTTTATCACTGGATATTGTTATTGATATAGAGAGAGGTGTTTTGTGAATATTATATTTGCTTTTTTTGTTCTTGAACTAGGTTTTTTTTTTCTTTCTGGTTCTCCTTCCCGATTCAATAATTTAAATAATATTAATGATATATTGTTTATTAATATTACTGTCAAGTCCTGGCCATGCACTTGTTTATTAATTGTGTTTTGGTAAATGTTGAATGTATTTCTAAGTGTTGTTATTGTTGAATAAATTGTTTTTTTTTGGTTGTTGAAACCTGGCTGTAGTAGCGTGTTCATTTAAGACCGTTACAAAGAAGATTGCTTTTTACCGCTGTTTTAACTTGTTTATTGCTAAATACTTGTAAAACTGGTTAAACAATATTATACTACTAAACACTGGCAAGAACTGCTAAATAATGTTAAATTTTATATAGGTATTATATAGTGTACGTTGCTACATATTTTAGGGTTATGAGTGCGCCAAATGTGACATTCAATACCACACATCCCCCTCCCCCAGTGGCACAGTAGTAAGTTTGCGGACTTACACTGCTAGAACCCGGATTTTGATACCCGTGGTGGGTAGAGTACAGATAGCCCATTGTGTAGCTTTGTGCTTAACTACAAACAAACAATACCAATATTAAATCAAATAAAATTATTAAGAGTAATCCATGAGTTAGTAGGGAGTTTTATTCACTAGATGTCTTCACTCTCATCTAACAGCTCAAAATTAGAAATGGCTATAAGCAGGGTAGCCCTTGTGTAGCTTTGTAATCTAATAAGCTAACTTAAACAAGATTACGCTATGTATAGTTACTGTACGTTGTTAAGTACAAACTAAGTTTCTTCTATGTTTCCAAGTTTAGCTATTGTCATTTCAGCAATGCTGAATTTACACAATTATACCCACTGAGAGAAGTCTGTCCCCATCCTGTCACTACAACAGTTCTTCCTTCAAAGTTTTGTTTGACAAAGCTAGGCTTAGGTAAACACACTGGACGAATATTGTCGGTGAACGTAATTTTTCGTCTTAGCTTCAAAACAGCAATGTCGTGATACACTTGCTTGGACGTGTAACGCTCGTGCTTTTTAATAGATTTTACTTCATATCTGTTCCCGTCTTCTAAAGTGTGGGAACCAAGACGGACGCTGTAAGCAGAAGGGGACCTGGAAAAAATATATATGACATATAATCAACGATAATCTTCTGTTATACGTCACTTATTTCAAGCTATTATACATGTTGAATCTATTAGACCTCGCAACTAATATCGCTGCAAGAACAGTCTGGACTCAGTATGGCACAGAATCCAGAAGACTCGCTCTCAATACGAAGGTGGAAATGATCCAAGACACTAAAAAATGATTTATAACAATCTGTAACTTGAAGTTTACTCTCCTCGGTCCTCTTAGGTCAGCGTATCACTTGGTGAACTCAGATCTTCCTAGTGGCAGACATAATCTCTTCCTAAAAGGTATTTCATAAGGACGCTCCTCTTAGACAGGTGGTAACAAGTTGTTGTCTTCTGTTGTTCTGGTCCCGGCATGGCGCTCGACTCGCAATCTGAGGGTCGCGGGTTCGAATCCCCGTCACACCAAACATGCACGCCTTTTCGGCCCTGGGGGCGTTATAATATGACGGTCAATCCCACTATTCGTTGGTAAAAAGCGTAGCCCAAGAGTTGGCGGTGAGTGGTGATGACTAGCTGCCTTCCCTCTAGTCTTACACTGCTAAATTAGGGACGGCTAGCGCAGATAGCCCTCGTGTAGCTTTGTACGAAATTCAAAACAAACAAACATCTATTGTTCTGCAGGTTCATCATTATATGACTGAATCTTCGCATTTAAACAGCTCAAGCAATCATTTAATGCAGTAGTTTACTTTACATATTAGGTAAATAGTGTTCTACAAACCTTTGTGTCTGAATGGGTCGTATACGGTTTTCCTGGCTAAATAATATTGAATAATTATAGCAAGATTCCTGCTAATAACAGAATTGGCTGATTTGGCTACTAGAAGTGTATTAGGCCTGCGACAATATTCTCAGGTTAAAGATGGAAGCTGACATAAGAAGCTAAGCGAAACTTCCATGTAATACGGCAGATTAAATTGAACTTAAAAGTACTCAATCAATCATAGAAAGTAAATATGAAACAAATAGATTATATTAAAACGAATGAAACTAAACAAAATGTCTTACCCTACAACTATGCATTACACATTAAGAAAATACTGACCACAATATACAACTGCTTCAAGTAGCGATTAAGGTAATCCTGAGTGGCTTATGCCTTAGAGATTAATCTTTTCAATCTAAGTTTATCAATACTATGGTAACGTCCTAGTACTAGGACAAATACAAGAACCAAAATGTAGAAAATAGGGTATCTTCTAATTTCATTAGTTCCAAAAGTGTACAACAATGATAGAAAAATCAACATATTTCAATAACATGGCGGACTAGTGGACTGTTACCCTTATATGTTTTTTATCAATATTCTATTTTACCCTAAATTATCTATTCTATTACAGGATAAAAAAAAGGACTGTAAAGTATATTTCATCTAAAATTGAAACCTATAATGAAGATTTATAAACTATAGACACTACTAAAGGTCAGTCGTATATTATAATAACAACCTTCAAAGTGCTCGGTTTTATGGTCATTAATATCTATTATTGCTGAGCTTACCTTGAACTTTCCATGTCAAGTTTCCGTGAAAAACAAACGATAGATCTTAACACATTTTTTACAGAACTTTTATTATTTTTGAACGTCTAAACATACCAAAGGCACAATGGTTGATTGAAGTTGCACTCGGTTGACAAATATGTACTCGAATGGAAGTGCATTAATTCCACTTTTTTAAGCCAACCTTCTCACGAAAATAGCTCTTTTATTTCAAGATACGACTTGTGAGTCTTCTTCGGCTTCAGATTCTGGTTTATTTTCTCGTTATCGGCACTATGAGGTAAGCCCAGATTTATTGCGATGTCATTTTGGGTTGGAAGATTCTCTTTAGGTTGATATCATTGATAACATATTGTTTTGGAACATATTTCTTCCTAAAAGTGCTGATGTGCGAGTTAATTGCTTTCAGCGAAAACATTAAAGACTGGTTTGGTTTGTTTTGAATTTCGCGCAAAGCTACACGAGGGCTATCTGCGCTAGCCGTCCCTAATTTAGCAGTGCAAGACCAGAGGGAAGGCAGCTAGTCATCACCACCCACCGCCAACTGTTGGGCTACTCTTTTTACCAACGAATAGTGGGATTGACCGTGACGTTATAACGCCCCCACGGCTGACAGGGCGAGCATGTTTGGTGTGACAGGGATTCGAACCCGCGACCCTCAGATTGCGAGTCGAGCACCCTAACCACCTGGTCATGCCGGGTCCATTAAAGACTGTACTTTAACAATTTCAATTGCTCTCTAAGAGCTATAACGTATTTCTTTAATCATAAGCCTATCTGTGACAATACTGCAGTGTGAAATGGCCAGAAATTCGCTACCGAACAAATACGTAAAATATAAATATGTAGCCTGCAGTACTTGTACGAGTCGCATATGCTGCGACATACATTGTTATAAAATAGAATTAATATTTATTTAGAATTGTATTGAATAAATTAAATACCCTAAGTACATTTCAAGTTAAATTTCAATGATTTATTGAATTATAAACTTTTTAGAGCATGTGTTAAGCCAATAAGAAATAATTTTTACTTACTGCATTTCGAAACAATGAGCAGCAGATATGATGTAATTCTCCGAGATTACTGAACCGCCACAAATAAACATTTGCCTGTTTCGAGAGATTTGTATGAAAATTCCTGTCTTTTGCGAAAAAAAAAGATAAAATAAGCAATTCACATAAAGTTTCGCAACTTTCTGTTGCAATGACAGTTTTATAAATAAAATACTTACGCTAAATTTAGATTAGGATTCGTTTTGTCACGAATAGTACTCTATTTATCATACCCCAAAATTATCTCGCAAAAAATCACTGTGATACTCTTTAGAAACAAGTAAGACAATAAACTTCAGCCATGTTCCTGTTCTGAAGATTTAAAACTAATAAACTTCAGTCATGTTTCTGTTCTGAAGATTTAAAACCAATAAACTTCAGCTATGTTCCTGTTCTGAAGATTTAAAACTAATAAACTTCAGTCATGTTCCTGTTCTGAAGATTTAAAACCAATAAACTTCAGCTATGTTCCTGTTCTGAAGATTTAAAACCAATAAACTTCAGCTATGTTCCTGTTCTGAAGATTTAAAACCAATAAACTTCAGCTTTGTTCCTGTTTTGAAGATTTAAAATAATTTGCTTACAACGTTGCCTGTACCTAACTAATGAACAAATATATAAAAGAAATGTGAAAATACTTGCCATTAATGTGAATTTTAATTAATAGTGTTTCCTGATCAGAAACATAAATAGTCAGATAGGACTAATGATATTAACTTATCTAAGATTTTTTTGGGTTATAGAGCCATATAAAATAACAAATTTAAGTTAGATATTAATTAAGCATAAGAAGTACACTATTTATCCAATCACGTCCCTCATTCTTAACGAAGTAGCATATTATTGTGGTATGCAAACATGCCATGTCTTTTCCATCTTCTCATTTTAATGTGCAAATTTGAAAAAGAAATCGTTTATTCTGAGTTTATGCAGTTTCTCATAACACGTGGTCCAGAAAATCGTAAAGCTGACGTCGTACTAGCTGCCTTTGTTCCTTTATTATTCCCTGGAGATAACACCTGTTCTGCCCAAAGAGTTTGTTGCTGTGATGCAGCAGTGTTATGCAAGAATGTAAACAACAGTTTTCTTCGATGGTAGAACAGGTGGTGTTTCGAGGTTACGGCCACCTCTTTGTTGAGTAAGAAGGAAAAGTCACGTGGTAGCTCCAGTTGTAATGACTTGAGAATAGTACAAGGTATCTCAAATGAGTTGGTTGACGTGGAGACACCTCGAGGGAAGAAAATCATTTAACTTTTTCGTCAGCCCAGTGACCGTCCAGTGTCCAACATAAGTTCTATGATTTTTTAAATAAATAAATTGTGTTTGGCTGAATTTAAGGTAAGAAATAGTTTAGTTAAATTCAATGTTAATTCGTGAATTATCCTGCTAGTTCTCCCATCAGCCACGTGTGGACAACGACTTCCAGCGGGCCAGTTTCAGTAACCCAAGGGCACACAAGTGGGCCTACCTAGTACTTTTTCCGAAAATCAGTTTAACCTGAGAATACCACAATAAAAACTAGTAACTACCGACTAACGTTTTTAATCGTTTAGGAAAATGTGTTGAATATTGGAATATGGATTACCTACAGAAAATGCACGAGCATGTTGATTTTTATAACGTCATTGGAGTAAAACAACAAACCAACAAATTAAAAATTATTTCTAAATTTTCACTGATTTCATAAATAAAGGTCGTCTGAAGTTAACTTTTTCGCGTATTATTTTCTTTATTTGTTCATGTTTTATAGATTTGTCTCGTCTGAAAAGTTACTCAGTGATTAATTTTCATAAGATTTTTTTGTTCCAGTTAAATGTGTATTGTAACATGAGATGAACTAAAACAGTTTCCTACATAAGGGACAGAACTAAATGAAGTTTATTAGGTTTTTAAAAATGGTAAGTCTCCTGATTTACAACGCTAAAAGCAGGGGTTCGATTCCCCTCGGTGAACACAGCAGATAGCCTGATCTGACTTTGCTATAAAAAACACACACACGCACAAAATGAAAATTATGTTTCCATAATTGCAGATTTCCAAGCGTTTGGGAAATTAATTAAAAATTATGAATGTCTTTAATCTTTGGCATATTACTAATTTCCAGAACTATTTATTATCTTTTTTTTCGAAGCTACTTACTCTTTCACATATTATTAATAGCAAAACTATATATTATTATGTTTCTCAAAGATACTAAATCTTTGGCAAATTGCTACTTTCAAAAGCTGTACTTTACCATCCATGGCCAGCTGAAACGTTCGACCTCCTCTCCACCAATCAGAGCAAATCTGTTATCGTAAGGGGTAGTTCGACTCAGTTGAGTAAAGTCATTTCTTGTTTTTACTTTCGGACGAATCCCGCAGTCTTAAAGAAAAACTGTATTACAAAACAGAAACATAATAACGCACGCATATATATACATCCTTACTTTCTTTAATGTACAATACTAATGATAGAGATCAATTCAGTGATATGTAAGCTTGGGGAGAATGTCAGTTGTAAAAATATCAAATAAAATATTCAAATGGGATTTTTTTAAATGTTATTCATTATGTCAGAAAATGACTTAATTTTGCATATAGCAGTGTTAGTAATTTATTAATAAGACAATATAATTTTGAAACAAATCACACACACATAAGATGAAGACAGATTAAAGGAGATGTTAAATACTTTACTAATAAAGCAGAGAAAAAAAGATGGGCGTTTCAGAATATTTTAATATCAAAAATGCATTCTCGTACTAAAAACCTGAAGATTTGGAACGTTCGTGTCTACTGATTCATTTGGACAGCAGACAGTAGGGTAAACACCTTGCCATCGACATATTGTAGGGTATACCTCACGAATAGTAGCTAAAACTTCAGGACAGTCTCTGAGAGGTTTACAATTCCCACGTTTGTTTTTGGCTGTTGTACAAGAGCCTTGTGCAAAACCAGCAGCTGGCTGTATTCCTAGACCACGGGAGATGGCCTTTTGACTCTTCAGTGTCTTCAAGACTGCAGAAAGTTTTAAAACATAAAAAAAAAACTTGTAATTTTTCGTAACATTGTACTAGAAGTAACGCTGTTCTTCATGTAATCTGACGCTTCACTAATTTTCAAATTAAAACTCAGTTCTACAAATCTTAGTTAACGAGTGTTTATAGGATAAAGTCAAATGTGTTTGCTTCTGGACTGAATGAATATTAACTAATGAAGTTTTGGTCAGACGAAATTCGAGAGTTGTAAAGATCGTAAACAGTCAGTTTGTTAGTTCGGAACAAAAACTCCGGAAGTTATATTTTCACGAATCAAAAATACATTTTTAAGTTATAAACTAGATGGAAGGAAACTAGTCAACACCACCCACAACCAACACTCGGACTAATAATGGCTGGAGACGGCTTGAATGGGTAATGAAGAAAAACTTTAATACAGCAGCAAATGTACAGTAAATGTACAACATTGTTGTACATT